AGGCGACTGGATGGAGCTCAGCAGCACAATAGGGTTCCCGACGTGGTCATCGGTATTTGCCCCATGCCTTCTTTGTGGCTGCACGAAAGAAACAATGTATAAGTTCGGCAACATCACATTAGAGCATTCGGACTGGGGTAAGAGAGCGAATTCGTATGATGACGAATGCACTAATCATGAAACAGTGGTGAACGTTGATTCTCCTGAGGCCCGAGATCTAATCATGGAAACAGGTCTCCTCAGGTTGGCCAAAGACAGAAAGCAGCTAGGGCGAGTTCTTGGCGCAGCCCTCCCTGCGCTGGGGTTGCAGAAAGGAGACAGGCTAGATCCGTCCATGGAGCTGTCCGACACGTCGAAGTTTGAGACGAGAAGCTTACCGTCTGTCTGTGTCTTCTGGCGGCCTAAGTACGACGAAAAAAAAAAACGGATCGCTTCGTGGGTGCTCCGCCGCAACCCATCATTCTGCAGAGAGCTGGGGACCTCGCCCGATGCTGTCCTACACTTAGACACTCTTCACGCTTTATACTTAGGCGTATTTTCATCATTCGTGCTGGCTGTGATTCTGTGTTTGGTCAACGCAAACGTTTACAATGTTGAAGGGCCACAAGAGGTGGTTCGGGCAGTGACCCTTAAACGGATGTTCAGCGATTACAAGCAGTGGTGCGATAGAAACAATATTGGCAAAAGTTATTAGTTATCTACACTCACGCCAGCAATGATCTATCACAAGAAAGGCCCCCCAGAACTGAAAACCAAAGCTGCCGAAACGGGAGTGCTTCTCAGGTGGGCGCAAGATTTTTGCACGAGGCCTGGCGTCGCGCCGCAATTCCGAGAGCGGGATATCCTCGGCGCGGCGGGCACCTGTCTCGTTGACTACATGGCGATACTTCGTGAATGTGGCATTCGTGTTGAATGGAGCTTGTGTCAACGACTCATGTTTTTATGCCTCAGGCGTATATCATTGATGGAGGATGCAGGGAACGAACATCTGCCCAAATGCCACATGTTCGTTCATGTTACCCAGAAGATCCATGTCCAGGGGAACCCGCGCTACTACAGTACATTTTTGGATGAGTCGTTGAACCTTGCCATTGCAAACATGGCAGCAGCTTCTCATAAACAGAACTGGGAACTATCGATTATGCAGAGGGCACGCTTGCTACCTATTGTGTCGGAGAACGCTGCGTTCGCAGTTGTATGAAGACCGATCGGGGAACTCATCGCCACCTTCACCACTGTCATCGTCATCACTACGGGGAACGGGAGAGTGACGGGAGGAGGGAAGGAGGGTTAGGAGAAAGGGGTGACAGGTGAGGGCTCAGGATAGCGGAAGCCAAGGCAAGGCGCGCAGCTCGAGGCAATGCTCGGGCAAGTTTCGGGCAACTGCACGCTTCACTATTCTTCTCTAGGGCAAGTCTCGGGCAACGTTCGGGCAAGTCTTGGGCAATTCTCGGGCAAGTTGCGGGCAATTCTCGGGCAAGTTTCTGGCAGGTCTCGGGCAAGTCTCGGGCAATTATCGGGCAAGTTTCGGGCAAGTTTCGGGCAGGGTGCGGACAAGTCTCGGGCAAGTTTCGGGCAAGTTTCTGGCACATCGCGGGCAACTATCGGGCAAGTTTCGGGCGAGTCTCGGGCAATTCTCGGGCAAGTGTCGGGCAAGTTTCGGGCAAGTGTCGGGCAAGGCGCGGGCAAGTTTCGGGCAAATTTCGGGCAAGTTTCGGGCAAGTTTCGGGCGAGTTCCGTGCAACCCTGGGGCAACGTTCGCAACGCGTTCGGGCGGCTCCAGATACATGCGGGAGCAACTCTGGTAACGTCTGATCGAGTTCGGGAAGCAGCAACGCAATTATGTTCGGATTCCCCCTGGGGCCCCATCGCCTCGGCACCCTCTGCTCCCGCAGGCCGCCACGAGCGCCAGCCCCGCCGCGAAGTCGAAGAGGAAGGCCGAGATGGAGGGGGTGGGCGTCAGCGACAAGAAGAAAAAGGGGATCGATCTTGGCGACGTCGACGAGGTGACCGAGAGCACCCTGAACTATCACGACGGCGACTGGCAGGACAGAGAGCCCCTCTTTTCGAAGGTCGAACCGATGATGCGGGGAAATGGTTTCGGGGTCAAGTGATTGGCTCACCAGTGGGTGGTGCGAGGTGCGAGTCGTCGCCGCCGAACTCACGGACTCAGCTCGAAACGCAAGTCGAGGCGCGTCTCTAGGTCTCTCGCCGCTCTCCCCTATCCCTATACACATATGTATGCACGTGTCATCTATGTTTAGTATCTCTCTCTCTCCCCCTCTCTATATACGTACATGACTACATGTATGTATGTCACGATCGGGGGCCATACATGAAACCTTACCCCCTTAGGCCCAATGGAACTCCAATATTGCCCCAAGAGGACTCCCACCAAAAACGAAGGGACCGATAGGGCGTATATATCAAACCCTACCCACCCACCCACACACCAAACAACAAATATAAGTTCAGGTGCCAATGTGACGCCAGTACAGCCCCACTTGAGACGGGGCCGATACGTAAGGTTGAAGGTCCAGTTCCCAAGGCCAGGAACCATGCATGACCTCCCCCCACAGACCCAGCGGCACCAAGGGGGGCAAGCAGGCGAAACCCGACAGGATTTAAGGTGTAGTTCCCGAGGCTTCGTGCATATGTTGAATACCCCTCTCTCTCACACTCTCTTTCTCGGTGTGTATACGTATGTGTATACACACACTTTATATGCATGTGTGCTTATGCGTTTATGCAGCTCGTTTGCCTTCGCCCCTGCCCGCCCCTATCGCGCTACCCCGCCAGTAGGAACTGGCGACGCAGATCATCGGAGACGCGGGTGCCACGCCCCCCGCCCACCTCAACGTTCTCTCGATTGGCTGCGGCATGAACACGGGAGCGATCGCGATCAAGGAGGCTCGGGCGCTGCGAGGTGGGGATGGGGGGGACGAGGAGGAATGATGAGGAGAACGAGGAAACTTAGATGGGTAGTGGGATCCAGACACGGCTAAGGTGACGAGCTGAGGATGGCCGAGAGAGGATGAGCGGGAGGAGGAGAGGAACGGGGATGAGGAGAGGGTATGGCGAGGAAGCATCGGAAACCAGTGCTACAAATAAAACAATTGAGCACGACACAAGACGCTCTCCTCCCACCTCATTCCCTTTCCTGCTCCTCATCGTCACCATCCAACAATGTGTTCCTCCTCTGCCATCCCTCGCCCTTCCTTTACTCCCCTACCCCAGTCCCTCGGATTCGCCGCCATCCTCGCGACCAGCCCCTCCTGTATCGCCCCGAACGCGACCCCCCGCCCCCGCAGATGGGGATCAACGTGACAAACTACTGCTACGACATCCTGGCGTGGCTGCAGCGGCAGGCGTTGTGGGTGGCAGGCGGCGACGATACCCACGTGAAGGTGCCCTGCGACTTCACGAAGGACGCGGAGGGGGGCATCGTTTGTGGCTGCACTGCTCTGGAGCAGAGACGAGGAGGCTGAGGACAGGATCTGAGGAGCAGAATGGAGGACGGTATGAGGAGGGAGCAGCGCAAACAACAGCAGGAGCAGGAGTCGGAGCCGACTAACGTAGACGAAGTCGATGTGCATGGGATGGCAGGCGCAGCTTCTGGTCGACCCGAAAATTCAACGCGATAGCACGGCGGTGTCGAGGTCGGAACAGGTTTCGTGCCGAATACGAAAGCCAATCAGATGGCGCCTGCCATTGGCTGATGTGACCATGCGGTGCGTGAGACAAAATACCTCTCTCTCTCTCTCTCTCTCTCTCTCTCTCTCTCTCTCTCTCTCTCTCTCTCTCTCTCTCTCTCTCTCTCTCTCTCTCTCTCTCTCTCTCTCTCTCTCTCTCTCTCTCTCTCTCTCTCTCTCTCTCTCTCTCTCCTCTCTCTCTCTCTCTCTCTCTCTCTCTCTATCTCCTCTCTCTCTCTCTCTCTCTCTCTCTCTCTCTCTCTCCTCTCTCTCTCTCTCTCTCTCTCTCTCTCTCTCTCTCTCTCTCCTCTCCCCTCCCCCGACCTCGAACAATGCGCAGACAACGCTGATCGAGAGAGAGATGAGAGGAGATGCGAGGTGATGATAGGATGTGAGAGGAGCTGCGAGGAGAGAGGAACACGAACGACAAAAACAGAGGTAGGGGACAATCGGTGGAACGTATTTTACACATGTGCGTAAACACATGCGCATATATGCGCATGCATTCATGATCCTTCATACGCGTATACCAGTACGACTACCTGTGATACAATATCAAGAAACATATGTGCACATACATACGTGTACGCATGCATATATACATACGTACGTACGCACGTACGTACATACATACATGCACACATACATAATTACATACATACATCCATACAAACATACATACATACATATACATACATACATACACACATACATGTCTGCACGCATGCATTCATGCATACATACATACATACATACATACATAATCACATACATACATACATGCATACATTTTTGCATACACACATACATACACATGTATCTACATACCTACAGACATACATGCATGTTTACATGCGTGCATGCATACATACACACATACATACATGCATACGCACATACATACATACCTGCATTACACTACATTACATTACATTACATCACAACACACTACATTACAATACATGACATTGCATTCCGTTGCGTTACAATACATTACATTACACTACATTACACTACATGACATTATATACACACATGCATGCGCTCATACATATATACGTACACCTATGCATCCATACATACATGCATACGTGCATGCATACAAACATACATCGGTATACACATATCCGTATATGTGCCTAGTTTGCGGGTGGTGTTAGTATACTCAGTTGGGTCGGTGTTGCATCGTTTGTCTGAGCTGCGGCGTGGGCATGTCATGAGCATTCGCTTGGCATGTATGTCTATTGCCTTGAGGGGCCGTCGAATCGCTTGAGTGTTTCTCGCGCGCGCCGCCCCTGCGCCTGCCAGGAGAACCGGGGCCAGATCCCCGACGCGCAGGTGATCATCACCGCGCCGGACTCCACGCCGTTTGCTTTTGACGGCCAGGAGCGCGCCCAGAAGTCAGAGGGTGACAACGAGTTCCTATCGGCGATGGAGTGCATTGTGAACCAGGCGCGCCGAGACCGAGGCTCGCTCGAGATCTTTATAATCGAGACCAAGCTTAAGTTAGCAGAAGTTCCTGCTGGACGTGACATAAGCCAGGCCGATGAAGTACTCGAATATTTGACCGCCTCTCTCGGAAAGGACTGGCTCGTTTGGAAGTGGCTGCTTGAATCGGAACGTTTAGGGCTCCCCCAAGCCCGCTCCAGGATGCACATTTGCGGCAGGAAGAAGAATAGATTCAAGGGGGCGACAGAACCAGAATTGCGCCCCGAGCAATTCCGCGTGGCACAGATTCCGCTGGCAGACATTCTCGACAACAAAGCCCCGAAAGCCCAGGTCACCGATCTGAGTGAGACCATGCGCGCAAACCTAGCCTCGTATAAGAAACTATGCAAGGATGATCCCGATGGTAGCATTTTCGTTGTCGGCGTGAGCAGGCCTGCAGATGCCAAGCCGAGGGCCAACATGTGCCCCGAGATCACGCCAACCAGCGGTGCCTTGTTCGTGTTTCAAAAGGGATCGCGCGACTTCCACCGATTCCTGCAGCCAGCAGAGCTGCTCATGCTTCAAGGGTTTTCCCCAGAGGTCTTGAATAATCTTGCGAAGGCCAGGGTTGTTCAGGCCGCAGGCTCTGCGAGTTCGATGGCCTGCATTGGCCTTAGCGTGGCGTGCTGCTTCTTGGACCGCCTTTCTTAGGATATGAGCGCATGTGCCTATCCGACAGCGTCGCAACATATATCATGGTAGCCGTTGTGCTCATGTATACCGACAAGTATTGATATTGAATTGGGGAGGTATCGACCATACGTATACACAAACATGGAAGCACATGTGGGGGAGAGGGAATGGTGCGGCTTGGCGTGTATGCATATATATACACCTGTACAAGTCGGTGCGTATATCTTCGCATATATGCGCATGTACATCGACATATAGATAAATCGATGATGATGTGGGAGGGGGAGGCGTGCACACACGTGTTATATACATATATATAATGCAGTTTAAGAAGTCGAACGGTGATGAAGCACACTACCGAGTTGGCCAACAAGTGATAATACTCAGTAAACCTTGACTCTGTTGTACAGGTGTGCACGCGGGCAGCCTGTATAATTGCCCATGGGCCGACGGCGACTACTCCGTAGCCCATTTAGTGGCTTAAGTGCATTTTTGTTGTTTTGCCGTGCAGGAAATGGAACCCGCTGCCAAGGGCGCATCCCAGATCGAGATTCGTTCCAGTACGGAGACATGGACACGATATCCTTACACGCGGCTCATTCTTACAGACTTAGAACAGCAGCCACAACCGAGCGGAGACGATGAAGATGCAGTCCGATTGCATGAAGATACGTGCAGGCACACGAAAATACTATGTGATGGCGGCGCGTCAGGCCCGTTCTTTGGAGTCAGCGGATTTGTCGGTTCGAAGTTTACGCCATTCGCGCAGCTACGAGAAGGTATCAACTACTCCCTGGTATTCTGGGGAAGCCCCCACTGGGGGGAGCACGCTCACGATAGTTCAAGCAAACAATGGAAGTCGTCAGGTGACTTCAAAAGCAATAGTTTCGAGTCTATGTCATGGAGTGTGCCAGCGGCATTGATAGCAATGACATACACCAACGAACACAAGGTCGAATATTGGAGCCCGACATGCAAGACCGACAGATCTCAGCCAGAACTCCGAGAACCGCGACAAATAATAGTTGCCCCATGCTACAACCGTGGCTACGTACCGTTGTCGTCAGGCACCCAGTACCGAGAGATGACACGTGATCATGTCAATGTGGCGCTGTTGGTCCCAGGACGGTTTCGAACTCTCGTAACCTACAGACCCGATAATGTGACCATCGACCTAGGAGTTACTCTCTTTCGCACTTTACAGGCGATCCAATGCACTACGGACCAATACGCAATCGAGCTGGGAGGCCAAAGCTTTTCATTGGGATTCGAATTGCACCTTGCAAAGATGGAGCTCGACAAATGGGAGTATGAATAGTTGATATATCAGGACGTTGTCCAACACCTATAATTCAACACTTGGTATCAGGACGTTGCTTATATGGAACTGAAGTTGATCAACAACTACGGTGATCAGCATATTGAACTATCAGTTGAAGATGTGATGGAATTGAAGTTGATCGATGCTTATCTATGGGAATAGAGTTCATCAGTACTTACTTGAATGTGTTCGACACTTGCATAAAGTGATTTTCAAATCGCAGTTCAGGTTCAACAGATATGTTGGCCAATGGGCCGCCCCTCAATTTGCAGTCAGGTTTCAGTGCACAGGCGCTCGAAAGGACACAGCGCCCTTTCAAGACTGATCGGCCTCCTGGCCAAGTACTTGCAGGCGAGTTCAGCTGTTGCGTCGGATATTCGGGTCAAAACGCACCCGTGGATTTTTCGTCGTCGTCGTCGTGGGAGGTCCTGGGGCCGATCCTTGGGAATATCACGCCTAAGCGAGGCGCAACTGCTGGAAGACACCCCGCGGCGAGAAAACCTCCAGGAACCAGCGGAACCCCTCCTCCTTCTCCTCCCCCTCCTCCCCCCCTGCTTCCCTCCTCCTCCCTCCTCCCTCCTCCTCCTCCTCCTCCTCCTCCTCCTCCTCATCCTCCCCCTGCTCTCCGCTGTAGCCATTTTGGCTCAAATGGTTGTTGCCCGTGCATAACGCAGAGAATCGCGCGCGGAAAAATTTTCAAGGCCCCAAGAAATTCAGAAAAAAAATTCCGAAAAGTCAGCCGTTTTGAAATGTTCAGTTTTTTTCTGAAAAAAAGGACCTCTGGGTACGCCTTCTACAGGGCGCTCCGGCTGGTCGCGTTGAAGAGGGGCAATGGCAGTTCCACCAAGGCGAGCAGCGCGCCAGGCTTTGCCGGCGCATCTCGGCCAGCCGGGTCGGCAGCTGCTTTCGGTTTCACAGGGTCCGACCTCCAGGCGCCCCGCGCCCGCGCAGATTACTCGTGCCCGGCGACCAACCGCGAGGTGCTCGTGCAGGACTACATAGAGGCGGTGGGCTTGTCCACAGCGTGCGTCAGCTCCAAGACCAAGCAAGAGTTGCTGGACGAGGCTGCGAAGTGCGCGACGTTGGCGTTGCTTCGGAACATGCGCCCGCCGTGGCTGGATCACGCGTTCCCCCAGGCCTTGCCGGGGGATTTCTTGTTGTCCAAGTTCACCAGACCGCCTTTCCTCTACTGGGACGCCAGCTTCCTCGACATGCTATTCGGCACCGCTCTGGGAAGCGATCTCAACGACCAAGCGGTCAGCGTCGACTACCAGCTGGCGGGTGTCATCGCGCGCCCCCTGTATATGTGCACGCAGATCGTCGACGCCAGCGCCGGAGCAGCGCGCGCGAACGTCGCGTCGATGTCAAGGTTTTGCGGGACACCGCGGGTCGGGGCCACTGCGCGTGCAAGGAGTGTGCTGAGAGGAAACAGGGCGCCGATGAGACGCCGGGCTTTCCCAGTGTTGCCCTTCGCGCCCTGTACTTGTGCCCCGCGGTGGTCGGGCCGGATGGCGAGCCCACGCCGCTTCGCGCGATGACGCCCCATCGCGCGTTCGCGCACGCGCCCCCGGAGAATTGGGGGTGGGGCGTCGAGCGAGTCCAGCGCCACGTGGTGACCCAGGCGAACCCTGCGATATCCACGGCCACGCCGACATGGCACACTTACAACGCGGAGGAGAGCGAGGCCATTTGGATCGCATCCAGTGCGTACATGGCCACGCCGCCGAGCAAGACGTGAATGGAAGGGGGGCACTGGCTGCGCCAGGCTTTGCCAGCGCTTGCAGGCTCCTGCATCATGAAGGATCTAGTTTTTGATTTCGCGTAGGCTGCGCCAGGCTTTGCCTGCACTTGCCAGGCTGTGCGCAGGCTGCGCGTAGGCTTCGCCAGCGACCCCTGGAGTTGGTCTGTCTAGATAAAAAGGAATGCGCCGACAGGACGCCGGCGCGGGACTCCGGGAGGGGCGCCGGTCCCGTTTTGAGGTTGGCTCCGAGGTTTGGCAGAGGTTTCCTCGCCCTCGGAGGCCCTGCTCGCCGCCGCGGCTAGAAGGGAATCGAAAAACTGGTGCGTCTGGGCCCCTGGAGTTGGGCCGTCTACATAAAAAGAGATACGCCGACAGGACGCCGGCGCGGGCCCCTGGGAGGGGTCCCGGTCCCGTTTTGAGATTGGCGCCGAGGTTGGGTCGAGGTTTCCTGGCCCTCGGAGGCCCTGCTCGCCGCCGCGGCTGGAAGCGAATCGAAAAACTGGTGCGTCTGGGCCCCTGGAGTTGGTCCGTCTACATAAAAAGGGATACGCCGACAGGACGCCGCCGCCGTCGCTGTCGCAGCAGTTCTCATCAATTGCATTTGCACCATGTGCAACCCGACACAGGGAGGGGGAGGAGCCTTAGCAGGCCTCCGATAAAATTATCCCGGCAAAGCAACCTAACAGCGATGTGTAGGAGCATATATGGAAGCATTCCCCTTAATATTCAAAGGAGAATCCAGTTGTAGAATTCTGCTGTTTTCGCAGTCGTAGTCGCATTCGCGATGACAGTCGCAGTGGCAACGGCAGTCACAGTCGCAGCCTCAGCCTCAGCCAGCCTCAGCCTCAGCCTCAGCCTGCCTCAGCATCAGCCTGCCTCAGCCTCAGCCTCAGCCTGCTTCAGCCTCAGCCTCAGTCTGCCTTCAGCCTCGGCTCAGCCTCAGCCTGCCTCAGCCTCAGCCTGCATCAGCCTCAGCCTCAGCCTCAGCCTGCCCTCAGCATCAGCCTGCCTCAGCCTCAGCCTCAGCCTGCAGCCTCAGCCTCAGCCTCAGCCTCAGCCTCCTCAGCCTCAGCCTCAGTCAGCCCTCAGTCTTTCAGCCTCAGCCTCAGCCTCAGCCTCAGCCTCAGCCTCAGCCTCAGCCTCAGCCTGCCTCAGCCTCAGCCTGCCTCAGCCTCAGCATCAGCCTGCCTCAGCATTCAAAATGTGGCCCGGGAATGGAGTTCTGGGAATTCGAAGAACACGAAGTGGCCTACAGTTGGCTCCGGGCATTCAAAATCATGCCCAGGAATGGAGTTCTGGGAACTCGAAGACCACGAAGTGGCTTACAGTTGGTTCCGGGCATTCAAAATGTGGCCCGGGAATGAGTTCTGGGAGGTCGAAGAGCACGAAGTGGCTTACAGTTGGCTCCGGGCATCCAAAATGTGGCCCGGGAATGGAGTTCTGGGAGGTCGAAGAGCACGAAGTGTGTGACTGCTGTCTCCGGTTATTTAAAATGTGGCCCGGGGGTGGAGTTCTGGGAGGTCGAAGAGCACGAAGTGTGCGACTGTTTGCTTAAAGCGAGTCCGGCTCTGTTCCCGGTTCTTTTCCCCGTTCTTTTCCCCGGCGCCCGCCCAGACCCCCCTGAGGAGTCATGATGATCTCTGTTGAGTCCACTTGAAACTTATCAGCAAGAGCTGTTAGGTAGAAGTATCCACTGGCATCGTCAGGAAAACAATCACCATTGCCGATTGCTCGGCCCCTCCACCCCCCCAAACCTCCTTATCACCCGCAGGGTGGTCGTATAGGTATTTTTCCTGATCGAGGGTGCAGCGCGAACCCAGAAGTGAACGTTC